CTTTAGAAAAAGCGAGGAAAATGTGGGAGACGCCGGAGAAAGGAGGTAAGTAAATGTAGCAACCGCTTCGTTTTCGTAACGTTCCTGTAGAATGGTGGCGTTGAGTCTTTTTTGATGAGAAATACTTCAGAAAAACAAAACTCCAGATTCATGCCATTGTATTTTATTTTTGGTCTCACTTTAGTCGCTGTACACTAACGTGGTTTTGTATGTTTTCCAGAGCACAGTACGACTAATCCCGAATCCTCCTCGGACGACGAAAACCGAAACCCGTCACCAGTCATTTTGTCAGATACGTCCGAGTCGTCTGGTGATGAGCAAAGTAAGTGTAAGACCGCTGTACACTAGACTGTGCAGCAACGTAAAGAGAATCGAGGAGGGGCTGAGGGAGAATGGAAAGGAAAATGTATTTTGAAGTTCTTTGAAAGTTACTTAGGTCAACAAAAAGGTGGAGTGGACATGGAATAAGAGGTTGTTCTTTTTGTCTTTTTAGTTCCAAATGGCGAGGAAAAAACTCCAGAAAAATCCCGAAAAAATCACAAAGGTATGTTTGTGTGATTAATTGTTCTCCGCTCCTTTCCACAATCTAAACAACGACTACATTGAATGCCGGTTGACTATGAATCTTGTCACGTGACCCATTTTAGAGCGGATTTCGTGTGAGTGGGACACCGTTACCGCACGGTTACCGCACAGTTACCGGACCTGGCCTGCAAAATTTTTGTGAACCAATGGGGCACTAGAATTTGGTTACAGTACGATTACGGTCACAGTACAGTACCGTCCGTTTCCCACTCATACGAAATCCGCTCTATCCACGTACTATTGTTCGGTAGTTCTTATCGTGTGTTTTAATTCTACAGCTGCTCCTTTCTATGCATCAGATGGACCAATGCACAGCACGCCCATTGGTAAGTTACTGACTTGGCTACTGTTTCTTGTATTTCAACCAATCAAAAACTACATAAACTAATGTAAATGTGTTCTTATTCTGTGTAATTTTTCTCTGCAATTTATGCTGCAACGACAATGCAACAAGTACAGTCAACTCTCGCTATTACGGACACCCTCGGGCCGTAATTTTCTGTCCGCAGTAGGGAAAGTCCGTAGTAACGAGAGTTACCTTCAGTCATTTCTTTGTATTTTTTCCCGGGTATTCAGTATTTTACTGTCCGCAATATCGAGGTGTCCGTTGTAGCGAGGTGTCCGTAATGCGAGAGTTGACTGTATCTGACTTTTCGAAATTTTCTGTTTCGCGCACTGTTACGCGAATGAGAACTGCCTTTTAGAAGCTGACATATTGGAGCAATTTCCAAAGCCATGTGCTTATTCTTTCATCCTCATCAACTTTCCGCGCAATTTTTCAGCGCGTGCGCGATTTTTAGCAGCCACTGTTGTGAGCCACTGAGAGAATTGTACAGTTCAACAGGGACAAAAGTTTCTATAAAGCATTTTCTTTCACAAGGCCAATAATACAGCGTTTTAACCAAGATCATTGTTATTCTTACGCAGATACAACCCCAGAAGAAGAACCCGATATGAAGAAGAAAGCCTTTGACGACAGCGATTCGTCTGACACAGAAGAAGAAGATAAAGCTCTAGAACGTCCTCTTAAAGAACACCCTAAGTTTACCAGCACACCGGAGATAATTCCCGATGTTGTTGCCTCTGGATCAGCAGCTACTACATCAGA